TGTCTTCATTCTAATTCTTAAAGCACGATTTAATTTTTGAACTATGTGCCTATCTTACTCTAATTTTAAAAAATGCAGGCTGGGTGGGGTGGCTCACGCCTATAATCCCAGCACTTTGGGAGGCTGAGGTGGGTGAAGGAGGCTGAGGTCAGGAGTTTGAGACCAGCCTGGCCAACATGGTGAAACCCCATCTCTACTAAAAATACAAAAATTAGCCAGCCATGGTGGCGGACGCCTGTAATCCCAGCTACTTGAGAGGCTCAGGCAGGAGAATAGCTTGAACCCAGTGGGTAGAGGTTGCCATGAGCTGAGATCACACCATTGCTCTGCAGCCTGGGTGACAGAGCGAGACTCTGTCTCAAAACACTAACAGCAAAAAAAGCAGTGTAATTAAGAAGAAAACTAGCTGCAACACTCCATAAGTTCTGGTTGCCAGATAAAAGAGAGGACGAGATGAGTGGAAGAGATTCGTGGGGAGTAAGCTGAGCGTGGAAGCTGTGCTCTGGCCCAGAAGTGGCTGTGGGGGCAAAGGGAGAAACAAGGATGCATGACGGTGTGCTTGCGTGTGCACACACCGGGAGGAGGGAGCTCCTCATCATTTCCTTTTTGGGTTCACTTCCCTCAGGGTGCACGCAGCCTCTTGGAGATGATGGAGTGGTGGATGCTTTCAGGACCTTTTAGCTCTGGTTGCTGCACTCCCGGGTGACACCTGGCGGGAAGGAGTTCTCTGAAACCAGCTTGGCTCAGAAAAAGCAAGGCTTGGGTGAGAAGTGATGGTGAATTGGGCGATGAGTCATGGAAAGGTGTTGCCACAGTCACTCAAGTTTGTTTAGTGGCCATTCACTCTTTCCCCCTCCACATTACATCACCCTTCCCCGCTCTGCCCGCCAGTCTGGTCTAAAGCCAAAGTATAGGAATGATGGGTCTTGTCCAGTTCAACTCAGGGAAATGCAGAGAAAGTCCTACCCCACCACTTTGAGAAAGCAGAGCATCAGACTTTTGTCTGAGAGTGCTGGAGAAGAGAGCAGAAGGTAATTGACCTGAATTCAGTCCTAACTATTTGATCTTTATTCAGGCCTTACTATGTGCCAGGCATGTAATCTACACTTCTTATTCCAACCACCTTAGGTGAGTAAACTAGGATCTACCTTTCTTAGATGAGAATTTTTTTCCCCTTTTGGTGGAGAATGGGGTCTTGCTATGTTGCCAAGGCTGCTCTCGAATTCCTGGCTCAAGCTATTCTCCCACTTCTGCCTTCCCAGGCATTGGGATTACATGCATGAGCCACCACGCCTGGCCTCAGATGAGGGAATTTTTCTAAAGCTAAGAAGAAATGGAGGGGTTTTGTGCCCGTCTGCATGACCTCAAACCTCCCAGACTGAGAAGCAGATGTAGAAACAGTGCAGGGACAAATATATAAGAAGTCAGGGAGAGAACAAGGCCGGGCGTGGCAGCTCATGCCTGTAATCCCAGCACTTGGAGAGGCCAAGGCAAGAGGATTGCTTGAGCCCAGGTCTTTAAGACCAGCCTGGGCAACATAATGAGACTCTGTTTCTACCAAAAAAAAAAAAAAAAGAGGATTGGCTTGCATGTGGCAATATCACTATCCTAATGAGATACAGAATGGAATGGAAGTTGCTTTTACTCCAGACTCATCCCTGCCCTTTGTCAGGAATCTAGGACCTTCTGCTTCTCTCCACACTGTCCTTATCAGTTTAAGATTAACTAGAGTTTGCCCTTTTATACTTCAGACTGCATGTGCAAGCATCTACGAGGCAGAGGGGACTGTGCCCATATTTTGTGGCACTGGCTTCCTGAGGGCTCTCAGCCTGGCTTGTCAGAGCCCAGGTTGACCCTGGCCCTCTTCACCCTCTCCAACAGTCCTGGTGGGTTTGGCTGGGCTAGTCATCCATAGCCCTCAGGCTTTTTGAAGCAAGCAATGTGTTCCTTTAGAGTTGGAGGCAAAGAAACAGAACATATGAGTGTGTTATTCCAGGGTCCTTGGGCTGAGGGCAGAGGCACGGAGGGCAGGCAAATGGAAATCAGGCAGTGTCGAGGCCTGCATTCCCTTTCCTCCTTCCATGGAGTACCCCTCCCACTCACTAACAGCTACCATTGATGGAGTGCTTCTTATGTGCTTGGTACTTTCTCACTTGACTCTGATTAGCTCCACTGTACAGATGAGCAATCTGAGGCTAGACAGGCTAAAAACCATGACCAAGCTTGCCTAGTTAGTAGGCACGGAGTTGAGATTTCCCCTTCAAATCCCATTCCAACCCTTGCTATCTAACTTTAACTTTTCTAATTCTAGATTCAAGTTCCTTTTTTAGCAATTCCTGACAAGAATGGGTTGCAATTTAAGAATATGAGAACTAAAATATTTTCAAGGTTAACAAAAAGATACATAAGAAACAAATTTGCACACGTTAGCATTTCCTACAAAGGGAACTCACAAGTGGGAGGGAATGACAATAAATTCCATTCATGTGTGATAGTTTTTTTTTTGCTAAGAACAGATAATCTGTGTAGATTAAACATCTATTATATATACATCAATGAGTATGAGTAAAGAAATGTTTTTGTAAGTTTTGTGTCATTACAATATTCAACTCTGATCAGGCCTGTTCAATCTTTAATTGCAGTGACCTTGTCCTAACCTAAGATAAGGGTAGGACATTTTCCTGATTAACTTTGGAAAAAAGTTCACCCCTGAATTTTCTGGTGCCTATCTCAACCTTGAAAAGCATTCTCAAAGATGATTCTGTGGGCCGCGTGCAGTGGCTCATGCCTGTAATCTCTGCACTTCGGGAGGCTGAGGTGGACGAATCACCTGAGTTTAGGAGTTCGAGACCAGCTTGGCCAACATGGTGAAACCCCATCTCTACTAAAAAGACAAAAGTTAGTTGGGCATGGTGGCACACGCCTGTAATCCCAGCTACTTGGGAGGCTGAGGCTGGAGAATTGCTGGAACCCGGGAGACGGACGTTACAGTGAACCGGGTTTGCACCATTGCACTCCAGCCTAGGTGACAGAGAGAACCTCTGTCTCAAAAAAAAAAAAAAAGATTCTGGTATCAACATTTTTAATGTGTTCCTTTGCCCCCCCACTTCCTTTCCAGAGACATTCTTTTTGCTGATTAACCTCACCCCTCCTTTATCAGCTTTCCTAAGAGAACACAAACAGCTGGCATTTCTCTATAGATGAACATTCCTCTGAAAATTAAACCAAAAAGGAACAGTCGGAGCAGATCCTTCAGGCTCCACTGTCTGTTTTATTGTTTAACAGCTGCTCCCTTGTTTCTCTGTAAAGCCAGGTACCACTGCTTGGGTGAGAAGTGCCTCCATCAGCCAAAAATGGAAGGAGATTTGTATAATCAAAGAAGGCGTTCAATCTGGATTCCCCGGAGTTCTTGGGGAACCCAAGGAGATCCCTGAGAGGGTGTGGGGGACGATGGCTCTGGGTCCATGTGTGAGCTGAGCCAGGGTCCAGGTGGAGGCAAGTCTGCTTTCCTGTCGGGCACCCATGTAAGGTTGTGCTGGAATGGAAATGTTCGACAGCTACAAAGACGTTTAAAAGCCGCTGTATACAGAATTGAAGTCCCTTCCAGAAGTTTGGAATGGAATTGTTGCCCCAACTCTAAAACAAGGGTAATATCCTTAACCAACACCCAACATCACAGTGAGAAGTCATTATAAAATGACGTTGCAAAGTGAGGGGTGGCCAGGAAAGTAGCACGTCAATGGCGACAGTGACGGCATGATGGTGAGCATGATGGAAGTGCTGGCAATGGCAATTCCATCTGACCACATCCTCCTGAATGCCCGAGGCTGAGCTCAGCCATAATGACAGAGGGACTTTGGCTGGCAAACTGGGTCAGGCTTGCACCAACATGTAAGGTGTCAGGGTGAGAGCCTGGCAGATCAGAAGCAACTGCTATCAAGTATTCGATTTTGCTTTAAAAATCAACTCCCTCCCCTTCTTTTATGACTACGTCCTCTTAAAGCTTATTTGCTACCCATTGAGATTCACACTGTATACATAAAAGACATCAGATAATACCGTTATCTGCACTTCTCATGGAGTATTATTAATGTTTCCTTTTCATAAAAATTATGGCTACTTGATTTTTATCTCATTTTTTAAACTCTAAATTTCTGAAAAGCGGGGTCTAGCTTCATTAATCTCTGCACCCCTGCCTGAGAGCACCTAACATGGAATCTTGCTTATGGAGTGAGCACTCAATAAATATTTTTGAATAAATGGTTCCCTGTCCCATTATTTGGAAACTTAGCTGCTGCCCATCAAAAACAGACATGCATGTTAAATTACTTTTAATCCAAATGAGTTTTAATTCTGTTTTCTATTTTTTCCTTTCTGTCCAGGACAACCAAATAGAACCGCAAACAGGTGGCCCAGAAGAGTAGCTTTCCTGGTGTGGAGACACATGGAAGGACAAACAACCTCTGCTATGCCAATTTCCCCTTTCATCCTGATGATAGAAGGGCGTGGAAAAAAATGCCATGGGAAATGAACTAGCATGGTGCAGTGAGCACCTAAGAGGTGTTAATAACCTGTCCACCCGGGTTTCCCTACTCCGCTCCAGGAATTGTCAACTAATATCAAAACCTAGGCAACCAGGAAGTCACCTGGTGGCTGATGTGTCACAGTTCCTGGTTATCTGTTTCCAGCTTACTCTTGCTCTGTAAAAACACATGCTGTCTGATAGAAGGTCTGGTGGTCTGCTATGAAGTCTGCTGCTGCTGACGATGATGACAGTGATGATGATAATGATGACAGCGGTAAAATCTGTTGAACAGTATGTGGCAGGCACCGGGCTGGCCTCTTATGTACATTATCTCATTGAAACTTTACTCCTGCCTTAGGAAGTAGTACTATTATGACTTCCATTTAACACATGATCAGACCACACGCCACAGACCCAGCAAGCTACAGTCACTTGACCAAGCACTCAGGGCTTCTATTGTCAAGGTGGTACTTACCTAGGAAGTACAGAGTTAGGTGGCCTGGATTTTGCAGGGGATGCAACTTTCGGTTCTGGCCCAGAGCTCCCTGAAGACCCTGGCAGAGAATCCTGTGCCGGCCCGGATTGGTTTGGAAGTATTTCCCTCGTGGAAATCAGGAGATGCTCTTTATCTTTAACTTCTTTTTCCCGGGACTTGGCTTTGTGTTCTGCCAGGAGGAGGTCAAATTGCTTTTTCCGGCCCGGGACTGCCCTCCGATGGCTTAGTGAATGTGTCTAAGGAGAAGAGAAATGAAAAGCACAGCCTCTTTGATCAGCACATAAACCTGCTTCCCCAGGCCCTCCATTTCAGAAATAGCAATTCATGGAAATTTAGAGGTGCTTGAAAAGTCAACTTCAAGGCAACAGCTCCTGTTCTGTGGCTAGGAAGAGGCAGAGACCACACGAACGCAAACATGCCCTACACTCCTGGTGTTAAGAAGTCAAAGCTTCCTCCAAAAAATGGCATAGGATGATGAACTTCAGCGCAGAACCCATGAAAACCTCTCTGATGAAAGGCAACTGCGAGGGAATGCTAGAGTTAATCCAGGTGCAGGTGGGAGGCTCGATTCGGCCCAGACAAACAGAGCCACCAAGCAGAGAGGGCCATCGCCTTGATCCCAAGAAGCACTAGCAGTTCAGTATGAAATACAGGGCTTTGGGCTACCCAATGGCGGCCACCTTGGGTCAGCTGTTCCCCAGGCCACCCCGGTGTGGCTGGATCAGGGGCGCGGCATATCATCCTCCCCTCCAGGGCTGCCTTTCAGGGCGCTGCCGCCGCCGCCGCCGCTGCCGCTGCTCCTGCATACATTAAAACGTAGCAGGCTTTAGAACCGCCTGTGAGTGCCTATAAATACAATTTACTGTCTGGCCTCACAAGTAACAGGGGAAGCCTAGTTTTTTTTTTTTTCCTTCTTAAAAAGCCAGCCAGCTTGAGGCAGGCACTCTGCTATCATGGACGAGAAGAAAGCATTTCCCTTACAAAGAACAGCTGGGGGTTATGTCGAGGTTCCACACCCTGCCGTGTGCAGAGAGTGGCATGCAAACATTTCGACAAAGGCCCCAGCGAGAGCAGGAAGTATTTTTTATGGAAAGAGAAATACCTTGCAGGTGAGGGATCTTGTGCAAGGTTTCTTTGTCTCGGGATCCAACACTCCACAGTGTTTATTTGGGTCAAATTCTCTCTCTGGTTTAAGAAACAAACAAAAAATATAAGAAAAAAGGAGACTAAATAGGATTTGGCATTAAGACTACATTTTTTAAAAAATGCACATTTGCACCAACAAGTGAGACATTGTCAGGCAATCTGTTTTTTGTTTTCTCAACCGGCTGCTAAAATGCTTCCAGAACCACTTGGTGGGGAAATGGTGCTCCCCTCTGAACCCAGAGTTCCCAAGTCTAGCTTCGGCAGGATGGCCGAACATAGCACAAGGCTTGGGGAAGAGGGCGGGAGCAGGCACCGAAGGGAAGGAGAGGAGCTGTGCCACTCTTAACGCTTTATTTCACTTGCAATGGGTGCACAGGTCCTTTGCATTTGGGCATAGCTGGCGGCAGACCAGGGAGAGCCACCTGAGACCCAACGGCCCCTTTCATGGGCTGCTCCAAGAGTGCAGAAACCCTGCCTCCAGCTCCTGCCTTCTTGCTAGTTTTAGCCATTTAAGTGGGAGATTACTCCTTGACATGTCAGAATGACCTGGCTCTCTCACACTAGACAAAGCCCTCAGCGCAGGCTTTACACATAACCTCACTGACCACAAACACCATTTACCTGATGGAGGGGGACTCTGGCAGTGTTACAGGCAGGGGCAGGGGAGGAGGCTGAATTTGAATGTGCAGAGAGGGCAGGGTCTGCTCATCTCACAGCTGCTCCCCACCCCCACTGTCCTGGGCCTGATGCTTCATGTGGGAATAAAACACGGCAGGCTGCCCCTGTGAGATGAAGGATGTCTGTGTGGAGAGGCCAGGTTTCCCCAGCTCCTGCCTTTCCAGTTGACTGTGGACAGCTCGTGTGGCAGTTACATCTAAGGAGCCTGTTCTTTCTATGCTCATCTTGGGTCCTTCACCCCTGCCAGGATGACAATCATGCTGTCCTCACCTTTAAAATGAGGGCCTCTGAGGTGATCTTTTTTTTATTTTTATTTTTTGAGACAGGGTCTCACTCTCTTGCCCAGGCTGAAGTCCAGTGGTGGGATCACAAGGCTTACTGAAGCCTTGACCTCCTGGGCTCAAGCCATCCTACTGCCTCAGTCTCCTGAGTAAGAGGTATGCACCACCATGCCCGGCTAATTTTAATTTTTTGCAGATACGGGGTCTCACTACACTCTCCAGACTAGGGGATCTCTTAAAGATCCTTTGGCCTTTAAAATTTCACCTCTCAGATGGCCTGTGTCATTTTTGGAAGGCACCAAGCAAACATGTAAGTCCTGCAGAACAGGAAAGACACAGCCCTCTGGGCGCATGGGGTATCTGGTAACAGTGTTGGTGGTGGTAGGGGGTATACAGAAATTGGTGGTACATCCTCAAGACCCTGGAATGGCTGCAAACTCAAAATAGGTTACCTAACCGGAAAACTGTCTGAAATGGGTGGAGTGAACTCTGAGCATAAAATAAAGCTCAGATTATAACATAATACATGTATTCTATTTTCAAAAGCTTTGAGGGTCACGGGGAGGTTGCAGTGGTGCCTATGGCATGCACAAGAAAACCACTCTACACCCAAGCAGATTCCTTGGCTGGTTACCAAAGTGCCTCTCTGTTTTTTTTCTTTTGGTCTGCCTTTTCTCTCTCTGTTTTTTTTTTTTTTTTTTTTTTTTGAGATGGAGTCTCACTGTTGTTACCCAGACTGGAGTGCAATGGCACAATCTTGGCTCACCGCAACCTCCACCTCCTGGGTTCAAGCAATTCTCCTGCCTCAGCCTCCTGAGTAGCTGGGACTACAGGCACGCACCACCATGCCCAGCTAATTTTTGTATTTTTAGTAAAGACGGGGTTTCACCTTGTTGACCAGGATGGTCTCGATCTCTTGACCTCGTGATCCACCTGCCTCGGCCTCCCAAAGTGCTGGGATTAAAGGCGTGAGCCACCGCGCCCAGCCTTCTCTCTCTGTTTTTTAAAAAATTTTTCTTTCTTTTTTTTTTAAGCTTCACTTAGGAAAAAAAAAACTGCTAGGCCTGGAGATGTTGGTCTGCTTGGAGCCCTCTTTGACCAGGCATGGCGTTTCCTCTTGGGTCCGTCAGAGTCAGGCCTGTGCCTGGTCCCACACCAGCGCCTCATGTCGACCTGGAGCTGAGCAGGCTGTTGGCTGTGGGGAGGAGCCAGCTGCCAAATGTGAAAGTGAGGCAGAAACAAGCCAAAGACCCCATAAGACAGGATAACCCACAAAATGCCAAAACCACAGGTGGCAAAAAAAATCCCCAAACAACTTCAGGTGGGGTCGCAGGCTGGAAGCCAAGGCCGTACTTCTGATACAGCGAAGACCCCTCAGCCTCCAGCCACTGCGCCCACGCCTACCGGTTTTCTGGGGATGGTGCCACCACCTCTGAGGAGTGAAACCGAGCTTTCCATTCAGGAAGAGCCAGGCGCTGGGGGCTCCAGCTTGAACCGTGAGGCCCACAGTGCTTAGGAAGAGTGCCAGGCTCTACCTTGCTCTCTTGACAGTGGGTGGGCAGTGCAGGCAGAGATGTGCAAGGTACGATACCTGCTTTATTTGAATGCTTTGGGACTGAGGGACTTTTCAGACATAATTTTTAAGAGAGTTACAGATGAAAGACAGAAAAACTAGAAATACAGTCAAATACAGTAGACAATAAAATTACCCACAATTCCTTGGGTGCTTAAAAATCAAGCTTAACCCGAGGACAGTTTCTCTGTCATAGTGTGGCTGTCACTGTATTTTACTTTCTCTGGCCACCATTAGGGAGTGCCCGTGATGTGTGAAGAAGTTATGACGATCATAGCTTCTCCTGGTCTTTCAGAGAAAGTAAAAACTGCCACGTTTAGTTCAACAGCAGGTCCAAAGCAAACATTACCCACATAGGGGCCTCCAGCAGAGCAACTGTCATCTCAGAGAAGGGCCCCATGTGCCTCTACTGGCACCCCAAGTGTCTGCTCAGACAACCAAGGAGCAGACCCAAAAGAGGCCGCCCCAACACCCCATGGGCACTGCCAGCCCTAGCGTTCCTGTTTGGGAATTCCAACCTGAGTATGGGGGATAGACAGTTGTAAACCCAACTGCAGAATCAACCTGGAAACTCCCAAGACCAAAGGACAGAGGCTGTGTGTCCCTGTGTGGCACAGCGCTGGTGGGGCTGCCGTCGCACGCCTTGAGCCACCATGAGATGCCTGTGTGTGTGTGTTGTCCAGCTTCTTAGCAGTGAAGCGTCTGTGGAAGCCAGTGCTAGTTCAAGCTGTCAGCATGATGCAGATACACTGAACCACCTGCTCACAAGACCCTTGGAATCTACAGACTGGGTTGGTGCAGGGCACCCTGCCACCTGCGTTGCTAGGGTCACTCCCATTAAGCACTGAACTGAGTCAGGGACTTCATCTGCCCAGGGAAGAAGAGACCTGGTTTTCCCTTGCATTTTTAGGTGGGGTTCCTGTTTGCAGGTGAACTCCACATCCCCCTTAAAAGTAAAACAGACCGGCTTAATGACAAGAACACATCACTCCTTGGTTATGGATGCGACTCCCTTTCAGTCTAATCATGAGTCAGACCCTGATGACACTGACACATACCTGAAAGTCTCCTGTAAGGCTTGTTGCTGTTTTTGGTGCCATTTTGGTGTTTCTTGTCTATGGTGGTTGGCAGAATTCCTTTGCCATTTAAGGTCTTCTCTGGCGAAGGTGGCACTGACTTGGACATCAGGACCGGCTTAATTAAAGGAGGGGTGGAGACAGCAGAGGACGAGGTGGAGGAGGCAGAAACTGCAGTAGTGGCTGTAGAGTTCATTTTGACATTGGCACCATCTGCCTTCACTAGGTTAGGAATTTTCTCTAAACTGACTACGGGAACTGGAACGCTGAAAAATAAACGAACAAACACACACAATTGCCTTCTTTGATACATTTAGTCTGCTGAGGAGCCATACCCGCTTATCATTATCAGAACATGTCCTTATCACTTATTTATACCCCTCCTATAAGCAAGCAGCATGAGCCCAGTTTTGATGGGAGAGCTCTGTGCCCTGGAAAGGATCAACAGGGGGTGCGAGGCTGGCACGGTGCCAGGGGTGGCATCAGGGCTGGCTGATTACCTCCCATGCTGGGCTGTCCTACAGATCCTGCAGCTTCCCCTTTCCTGGGCCCTAGAGGTTGACGGTCTCTGACACAGCACCTTGGGCAGAACAAGTCGCCCGCTGGGAAGCTCAGGAAGAGATGCCGTTTGTCCCCTGAAGACAGTGTGCTACTGCTGAATCACGCCCCCTCCCCCTGCCGCTCAGCTAGTCCCCAGCCCAGCCCGGATCAGGCCTGACATCTGCTTAACTCCGGAGTGCTGACAGGATCACACCACACGGAGGCATGGCTGGAGGCCAGCGTGCTGCACGGCGTGCTGTCGGACGGCTCTGGATCACTCTCATATCCTGGGGATGGGCTCAAATTGAGTGAGCCTCCATGTAGCATTATCCAATATTCCATTTTAGGCAGCAAGTTATGTAAATAGGCAATTCTCAAGGCTGGCAGGTGAGAGGATGAATTTTAAGAAGGCAGAGCACAAAGGTGTGCTTGACTCTTCAGAATCTGTCACCTTAGCCCCCTTCCCTGCTATTTCTCCTCTATGGGATGTGCATTTGATTTCTCTGCCTCTTTAATGCAGAAGGACCTGTGTCTGGGGGGGCTGCGGATAACTCTGTCTCAGGGTCTTAAAAGATGAAATGAATAAGCTTTGCTTTGGTCCCTGAGCTAGATTCCCTTTCCTCCTGGCAGGAGGGGAGAATGCTAACATGGGCTCCCCAGTCATCTCTGAGCTGAGAGTGAAGCCTACTTAGCTATTTGAATGCCAAATGATCTAGAATATGGCTTTTACATTCCTGCAGACAATGTAGGGCAGGGAAGAGGGGCTGTTTTTGGCAGGCGAAGAATCTTATCTGTCCACATGGTGGGCTGGCTCTCCTTTCTCTAAGATTCATTCACAGATTATTTCTTTGATCAACTTGTTCATGAAATTATTTTAGCCCCATCCCAGCCCCTGCCCCTTTTATGTCTTTGAAACAGGATCACAGCTGTTAGTTACAGATCTTTGCCAGTGAGAAGGGTGCAGAGTAGTGGAACAGACTGTGGCTGGACATTATGGACTCCTTCCTCGAACCACGTACCTTCTCGGGCTGGGGAAAGGTGATGTGGGGCTTCAAGTCCCATGTGAGGGGACACTAGAATGACAGTTTTTGGTAACACCCCGTGCCACTGCCAATTCCATCCTTGATCAGAGTGTCTCAGTCTCTGACACAGAGCTGAACTGCCGTTCCTTTCTATTTAATGGCAATTCTCAAAGCACTCCCTATCACTGAAGAATGGCACAAGAAGCCCTTTGAGAATGGGTGCACGAAGACGCTACAGAGATTACCTGGTGAAATTAGTGCTGCATTCCTGATTTTTTTCCAAGTGATAAGAGATGCAAAACAATGTGATACAGAATTCTCCTAGGCTTACTCCTCGGCACATTTAAAAAGCCACGAGTGACAGAAATCGGTTCTGAAGAGAGATTTGTTTACCCATGTTCACAGCAGCTGTATTCACAGCAGCCAAAGGTGGAAGCAGCCCAAGTGTCCATCAGCAGAAGAATGAAGAAGCAAAACGTGGTATATTATATTCAGCTTTAAAAAGGAAGGAAATGCTGACACGGGCAGGCGCCTTGAGGATATTATGTTAAGTGAAATAAGCCAGTTACAAAAGACAAATACTGTACAATTCTACTTACATGAGGTACTGGAGTAGTCAAGTTCATAGACACAGAAAGTAGAACAGTGGTTGCCAGGGGAAGGGGGGCAGGGAGAATGGGCAGGTTTTTTTAATGCCCATTGAACAACTGTATAGAGTTTCAGTTTTGCAAGATGGAAAAAAAAATTCTGGAGACTGGTTGCACGACAGTGGGAATGTAGCTAATACTATCGAAATGTACATTAAAAATGGTTAAGGTGGTAAATTTTACATTAGGTGTATTTTACCACACTTAAAATTTTTTTACATTTACAAACTAAAAAAAAAAAAAGGAAATTACAAAACTCTTACAACCTATTATACTTCAATAAACCTGACCTTAAAAATATAGATCAGGGCCGGGCATGGTGGCTCACGCCGGTAATCCCAGCACTTTGGGAGGCCGAGGCAGGTGGATCATGAGGTCAGGAGCTCAAGCCAGCCTGGCCAACATGGTAAAACCCCGTCTCTACTGAAACTACAAAAATTAGCTGGGCATGGTGGCATTCCTGTAATCACTTGGGACGCTGAGGTAGGAGAACTGCTTGAACCAGAACCTAGGAGGTGGAGGTTGCAGTGAGCCGAGATTGTGCCACTGTACTCCAGCCTGGGTGACAGAGCGAGACTCTGTCTCAAAAAAAAAAAAAAAAAAAATTATCAGTGGCCTGGTGTGGTGGCTCATGCCTGTAATCCTAGCACTTTGGAGTCTCAGGCAGGAGGATTGCTTGAGCCTGGGGGTTTGAGACCAGCCTGGGCAACATAGTGAGACCCGTCTCTACAAAATAAAGATAAAAATTAGCCAGGCATGGTGGTATGTGTCTGTATCCCAGTTACTTGGGAGGCTGCAAGTGGATCACTTGAGCTGAAGAGTTTGAGGTTACAGTAAGCTATGATCACACTATTGCAAGGCAGCCTGGACAACAGAGCAAGACTCTGTCTCAACTCACCCCACTGGCCCCGCTAGCACCCCCCAAACCCAAACTTATTGGCCAGATGTGGTGGCTCATGCCTGTAGTCCCAGCATTTTGGGGGCCTGGGTGAGAGGACTGCTTGAGGCCAGGTTTTATTCTTTGAGACAGAGTCTCTGTAGCTCAAGCTGGAGTGGGCAGTGGCACAATCTTGGCTCACTGAAACCTCTGCCTCCTGGATTCAAGTGATTCTCTTGCCTCAGCCTCCCAAGTAGCTGGGATTATAGGTGTGCACTACCACACCTGGCTAATTTTTGTATTTTTAGTAGAGATGGGGTTTCACCATGTTGACCAGGCTGGTATCGAACTCCTGACCTCAAGTGATCCTCCTGCCTCAGCCTCCCAAAGTGGTGGGATTATGATCCTCTCGCCTTAGCCTCCCAAAGTGGTAGGATTACAGGTATGAGCCACCACGTTCAGCCGTTTTTTTTTTGACATGGAGTCTTGCTCTTGTTGCCCAGGTTGGAGTATGCAATGGCACAATCTCAGCTTACTGCAACCTCTGCCTCCTGGGTTCAAGCAATTCTCCTGCCTCAGCCTCCCGAGTGCCTGGAATTACAGGCATGTGCCATCACACCTGGCTAATTTTTGTACTTTTAGTAGAGATAGTGTTTCACTATGTTGGCCAGCCTGGTCTTGAACTCCTGACCTCAGGTGATCTACCTGCCTCAGCCTCCCAAAGTGCTGGGATTACAGGCATGAGCCACTGCTCCTGGCTGAGGCCAGGTATTTGAGACCAGCCTGGACAAAATAGTGAGACCATGTCTCTACAAAAAGCTGGGCATGGTGGTGCACACACATAGTCCCATCTACATGAGAGCCTGAGGGAGGAGTGTCGCTTGAGCCCAGGAGTTTGAGGCTGCAGCGAGCTAGGACTGTGCCACTGTATTCCATCCCGGGTAATAGAGTGAGACCCTAGCTCGGGAAAAAAAAAATTATAAGAATCTGTTCTGTTCAAAAAACTTTTATTGATTTAATTTCTCACCCTTGTTCTGATCGGTTGACTTTTATTTATTTAGGGAAAAAAATTAAACTTCAAGTGTTGATATGAACACATGGACAGCTAGCAAGGTGAGAAGGTGCTCTAGGACCTGGGCAGCCTTCTCTGATGTATTAATATTTCTTTGTGAAGCCAAGGTAGTTCAGGAAAGGAAATTAGAACTTAAAGTTCCAGATCTAGTTCTCGTTGCATGAGCTGGTATGAGTTAACATAATGCCTCTAGTTTCTGTGAAAAATGCCCTATGTAGATGTTAGGCCCTCAGGTCTTCAGCAGACAAAGATATGATGCCTGGGAGAGAATAATCCAGGCAATTGTACAGATAGAAATATATTTAAAAACCAAGCCAAGCAGCCCTCAAATGCTCACAGCACAGTCTGCGTTTCTCCTCTAAAGCCAATGTCCAGCTCTGAATGTGAGCACAGGTGCGCCAGGTCCCAGCATGTAGAACCATGCCAGTCATCTCCTTGGTGACACTCCTTCCCAACTGTGTGTAACTGAGTTTGGCCCAGGCCAGCTAATGTCTGTGACTGTCTCCTAATTTGGAATTTTTTCCACTATGTAATGAGTATGGCCCATTCATACTTTACTGTCAATGCTTCCAGAACTCAGCTGGATGCAGAATTGGAGCCCATCGGAAACAGGAAAGACAGCCTGATGTGCAGTCCTTTGGAATGAAGAATAAGAAATGTTGGGGAAAAAAGTCTGATCAAGAATGTTTTAAAGGTTTCAAACACCAGGTGAGTTGGTAAGGAGCTGGGCCACAGAGTAAACACCTCTGGTGTTAGGTAAAAGGATGACAACTTGGCAGGAGGAGAGAAGGGAGACTGAGCCCTTTTGGGTGCGTTCTAAGAGTGTTCATTAGCTAGCGGACAAGGGCTTAGAAGAGTGAGGGATGAGAGCCTGGAGCTGCCTCTCATACTTTCTTCTTTGGTGTCCCTTCTCTCCCTCAAAAGCTTCGGGCTGTCTCTGGAAGGGAACCTGCCTTGGCCTGCACTGAGAATATACAGAAGTAGGCAGCTGAGTGATGGTGGCAAAAGCATTTGACCTTGCCATCCTCTTCCCCAGTGTACATGCTAGCCATTGGGTCAGACTTTCTTCACTGCAGCTGGCAACAGCCCCGAGATCCTGAACTGAGAG